AAACAATGATTGATATATAGATTTTTCGTAGACATAATTCCCTTTATCATTTTGAAAAGAGCAAAAACAAAGATTCTAGCAGAATAGCATGAATTCATTTTATTTCGTAGGTTCTCATCAGCTGCTTACAACCTGTGATATTTAAAAATCATCATAATTACATAATGGATTTAAATTGCTAACTGAATATTGTAAATATATACCTAATGTGAAAGAATATTCTACAACATTAATTGTGACAACAGTTCAAAAGTCTGTTAGAAACAATCGATTACATAAAGAATAACATTGAAGGAATGTAGTGAGTAGAGTTCAGTTGAAAGATTATTCACTTGAAAGACAGTTGAAAAAATAAAATATAGTCAATGATGTAATAAATGCAAAAGAAAAAAGAAAAAAAAATTTATGGTGCAGTGAAAGAATATTTGTCACCAGGGCAAGGAAAGATTAACCACCGTCTCCTTTTGAATACATAGGTCAGGTTTTTGACGCCTGATGGCAATGGCTTGAGCAAACTTCAGAATACTGGAGTTTGGCTGCTTACTAATCACCCTAAAGGATTGTAAGGTATCTACCTGATGTCCTGTATCAAGGAGATGTTTGGTGATTGCACTGTTCAGAGTCTTTCGTTCCTTTGTTCCAAGACTTTTTGGAACATGTTCAAAGAATCTAAGATATGTTCTCCTTTCAGTTCGGCCAATGTAGCTGCTTTGGCAGGTACACGTAAATTTATAAACACAGTTGGCGGTAACCTGAAAGGGTTGCTTGTCGATCTTTGATTGGGTTACTGAACATGTTGTTTTATTGAGAATTAAAAGTTTAGCAGCCGGATAAGTTCTGGCTAGCGTTGTATTCAGTCTCTTGTTGATAATTTGTGCGACGTCATCACCTTTAAAGTTAAGATTTATATATACTGGCTTTTTATTGACCATAGTTATTATCGTCTTCTTTTCCTTGGGCCTTTTATATTTGTCAATAAACTTTTGTGGATAAAAGTTTTCTTTTAAACATTTTTCTACGTTCATTATTTCTTCTTCCAGTTTGTCGGTGGTGCATATCTTTTCTGCCCTGTAAAATAGTGTTTTAACCAACGTCTTCTTGTAACTAATTGGACAAAAACTATTGAAATTCAGGTAGAGGCCATTCCAATTACTTTTTCTATAAATTTCCAGTAATTATTAAGTTAGTAATTATAGGTTAAATGAATATTATACTAAAGAAAATATCATATTGAGTAAGTTGATCATTTAAATTCTCATAATACTACTAAATATTGAATGAGCATTATAGATAGATAGAATCTTCCCGACCGTTGTTGATACCTTGACGTGGTTGTCGGGCTTGCCTATCATGATGAAGCAACCAAGCTATATTGGCTGGAACAACCGTTCCTCAAGGTCGTACGATGTCAGACAGGTCAGTTGAAGAGTGGTAAGACTATAAGCGACAAACACAAGGTTCGAAGGCGAAGTCGTACTGCTGACTGTACAGAGGTGTGACGGCAGTAAGGTTTTTCCTTCAGACAACCCGCATGACAGCGATGCTGCCTTCCCACAAGGAGGGGTGGGGTTAGAAAAGATCGACCCTCGGATATCCGTCTCCGGCAGCAAGGTCTCAACAAGTACGGAGCTAACACAAAAATCACCCATAAAAAGGTCGTGTGTGACCGACCTCAAGCAGTTGTCCCTTGGGTACTGCGGTCACGCCCTCAGATCACTAAGACCACCTCTAATCCAATTTCTTTTTGAGGTACCTCCATAAGAACCGTTCCACGGTGTGGGCAACCGGGAAGTGATAACCGCCCTCATACCTCTAACAGCACTCAAGACCACTGATAGTTAATCTAAAATCTCACTTTCAATTGCTAACAGACTAGGTACCCATTTCAATGTTTACAATGCCTATTTTCAAACTATCTAAATACTGAAATAAATATTCGAGTCTTAGATTTATTTCAAATGAATGAATATAAATGTGAACAACATATACTTACGTATCGTTATAAAAAGATTACAACACTATTGGAATTCTAAATGGTGGAAAATACAAACAGAAACACTAGTTATTGATGTGGTTTCCTACTTATCGATTTGCTTTTTTAGATAAGAAAGTATGATTACATCAGGATCTATATATTCAAAATATGAATGGTTATAGTAAACGAAGTGATAGATAACTCGAACCGTTGAATATGAATGACAGATACTGATTATTATTGTTATTATACTTAATAGAAAGTGGAAACTAATCAGTTTTCAATGAACCACATCACTATCCAATGTTTCCATTTTAAAACGAAAAAAGTATTTTAGTAGTAGTGGAATCTTTTAGACTGTCGGATTTTTTATCTTGATTAAATGTATACTAAGTACTAATTAATTGTAAATAACAGGTATCCAATATAAAGCGTATAGTGAAAAGTAAGTTGTTTAGAAGTTGTCGTTAGGAGACCTCATCTAACTCAGGTTTTGTGCTATTTAAAGCAATTATTGACAGTAATGACAGACCTGATGCTCCTCATATAACTATGGCACAAAATAAGCAGGTTGAAGTTCCGAGACAGAAGTCGTATTGTCAACGGTCTTTTTTATTGATTTATTTGACTAGCCTAAAATCTGGTACAACTAGGCATCAAAATTGGTATGCGTTGCTGAGATACTGCCGGAGTGCCCAAACATAAGCAGGTGGTTTTTCTGTACAGCCGATTCCCAATCATTGAACCTAAAGGTTTAATCCACGAAACAGTGGAACAACATCAAATAGCAGTCCACGATTAAAGACAAGAGTCATATACTATTCATTCCCAAGAGATTCTACAGCCCATGCACATCAATGATTTGAAATAAAATTAACCAACCTTCTTAAGTGTACCCTCTCTATGAAACCGTTAGAAATAACTTTAAAATATTTGTACCACTCACTACTGGTCAACGAGTACATTTTTAACGAAAATCAAGAATCTTTTACAGATGTGAAACTTGAATGTGACAAGTATTCCGAATTTCCCAAGTCTTATAATTAGTTTTCCTATCATGTAATTTAAGGATCCTTCATACAAAAATTATTTATTTGAGTACAGATCGGTTTGTTCTCATATTCTTTGTATAAGATTTTAATTGGGTGCAATGCTTAAATCCCTAGATAACATATCTGTAACTATGCAAATACTGTTAATACATTTTGTAGCATTAAATTGGTTTTAGCGAGGTAAATCTGTATGAAAATTGGGAGATATATATATGTGGTTTTGTAAAAGATTCATTGCTTGTCATGATGCTGAATACTCAAAGATATAAGCAGAAACAGTTTAATGGCTGTAAAATGTTCTTTCTAGGCTATTCTTTGGAGAAATGAGAGAATACACTGAAGTTTATGTATTAAATACATAGATTATTCCGTGTGGAAGTGATCGAAAACTTTTTCACACTTGAAAATGGATAACCACTGTTGTAATGTTTTAGATATGTATTTAAAAGATAGATGGTGGCTAGCAGTAGAATCCAGGACGCGCATTTCTAGTGACAAAATTCCTTGTTTTCAATTTATTACAATTCCACTAATTGTATCTGATAATCGTATTAATTTGAGCACTTTCATAAAATGGTCGAAACCTCTGACGAACAGAGGTACTATGAAACTCAAGACATATCACCACGTTGGTCAGTATAATTAATCTTCTACATTATCCTTTGGAGAAAATATATCCGATTACTGCAAAACCGACAGAAAAAACATATTTGGAGACGAAAAGAGATGTCATGGGTATATGATAGGGTATAAATATTTATGAATAAATGTGGATAGTAGCCAATCACTGTTTAAAAACTTTATACATATTTTTTGTTTCTTGGGAAATCGGGTGGTGATACAACGGAGATTTTGTAATGCACAGACTTATTGTAACCAAATATGTGGTACTGAGCAATAGATTATTATTATTATTATCCCATCACAACTCAGTGGAGAAAACAAACAGAAAATAGACTGATTGATGTAAAACACGTAGAGTATTGATTTATCCTTGATAAATAGAAAAGTATTTGTTATGTTCCGACAAGAATGATGAATGGTAACTTTTAGGATCTATTGATGAACCAATACTAAACTTATATTTCTATTGTATAATTATTAAGTAACTAAACTATGCATATTCATATTCCTCTTATTATAAGCTTTATTTTGACCCATAAACTATTGTTATACGTTTTACCATTCTTGAGTTATACCCAGTATATTAATTACTACCTCCCTCCTTCACAGCCACATCTGGCTAATTCTTGTACAAATGTTGTCTCATACTTTATTGGTACGTTGTGGTCAGTTTGATTGGCATATAAACTCAGTATGTTTGAAATATAATGATTCATATCTCAGAGGCTCGGGTTGGTGTTCTGAACTTAACTGGCTGGGCTAGGCGGAAAGCAGGACCGATCAGAATTCTAGGCTGTTCATAGGGGCTTACGCGTCATTGTTCCGATCGATAAGTCACTGCTCTCTAATCGGCGGTCACAAGTTATAACAGTATTACAATCAACACAGGATCTGAAACCATTGAAATCTATCTTATGTTTCGGTGTGTACCTCACTGGAGTGGCTTCAGAACAACTAGAACAAAACATTTGTCTAAACATATACACATATTTCATAACATATATCTAGTAGAATTTTTTGTAGACAATGATGAAACGAATTATTCAGATGAAGTGAGAGAAAACATAGAAACTATAAAACTCAATTCATTGTTATATAGTGAATTAATTTATAAATTTTTTGATGAGTATTTCAATCGAACTGTGAATTAATGATATTACTTATATAGTACTTATCGTAAGTGATCCTTAGAATCTTTTTTTTTCAATTTTTATACCCTGTATCTTGTTCATCAATTTCAGTCAATCAACTACTAATCTGATTAAGTAGGATATTAGAGTTATCCTAATTACATATTTACGGAGATTTATCATTTTACACTACATTATGATATAATAATTCAAGTGTATTAATTCATTGAGTTTTAAATGAGAAACAATATTAAGATAATTGTGACCACTGACCTGATTTGCTAATGTTATGACTAGAGGTTTGTAAAAGATAGAAATTACAGTAGTGTCTATTGATCGATTAATGAAGATTGTAGATTGATTATTATTAGTGTAGGCAATAAAACAACAATAAGTGTCCATTTTTACGTTTGACATTATATTAAATTAGTCAGTCATAAATATAATGTTGAACGTAGTAAATATGTGCATCAGTTGAAGTTGCTACATCATATCCGTACAGGGAGATAAAATTATCCAGACAAATACCAGAGTAATAGACACAATGACAACATCATCAGTATCTTTTACATTATATTCATTTTGACTTCCTAACACTATTTACGATCATTAAGTTTACGATGAACATGCCTCCATTACTTATTGGGTTAGAAACCTCGAAAGAGATGAAAAGGCGCGTTTAATATTTAGATCATGATCTAAATATGCGCTTTAGAATAAATGGGTGTCTTTTAATGAACATCTTCCACGACGTCTAGTGGTGATATGGCTCCTTGATCAAAAGATTGTACTGGTTTCAATAAAGAGTTTGTTTCAAACAGTTATTAAAAATGAAGAAAATAAACGTATAAATAGATGATGAATATTCAGAGAAAGGGATATTCCTATGCACACACATTATATCAGTACCAAATATCAATACAACTGGGTGGTATATATATGTCACGAATAAATAAACTGAACTGGAGAGCAGTCAATCAATTATAGTTCTGACGTATCACAATTTGATAACATCTCCAAACTTTTATCATCATTATCATCATTAACATCAACACTATCATCAATGCTATCACTATTTGTTATTAAATGTGAATAGATTTCTTCATAAAACTGTATATCTGATTTAGTGAACAGAATATTATTAGGTACAGTGTATTTTTCAACTTTTTTATCATTTGTTTTCGATTTAGATGAAGAACAATTCAACAGATTATTATTTAACCATTGAGTAAATTGTCCTGGAGTTGATTTCAGTAAATCTGCCAATTGTTTATCAACATCAACTGTAACAGAAAAAAAAATATATGTAATAGTTTGGATTTCGAATCGACCTTAGTTAGATAACCACTGCAAACTAGAAAAAATTGGACAGCCATTTCAGCATGATAAGGGACTCTTCAATGGTGAGTATCTATATATGCTCACTAGAGATCAGTGTAAGGAGGTCAATCTCAGAGTTCCAAAATATCACAAATCGACTGAAGTTAAAAGTTCAAACCGTTGGAAGTCAACTGAGTGGTCTAAAGGTTAAGAGATCACTATCGGAAGTGAAGAACCTGAGTTCAGTTCTCGATAGGATTGTAGATGGACACTGCTGGGGAGTCCCATATTAAGATGAAACACCTTTATAGTGACTTTTAGTTTACAGTGGTTATCTAACTAAAATTCAGTCAGATTGTAATGCAAAACTACAAAAATCTATGATTAAACAAGATGTGAGTGAATGTTGATTAACAATATGATGATCCATTGAAAACTTGATCGTTGGAAATCGATCAACAATAAGAATAAGAAATCACGACACAGATTATTATTCAGTAACAGATTATTATAAGCACACTGTGGTGGTACAGGAAAACATTCAGTGCTTCAATAGTATGATAATAGCATCTTTGTTTGTGCAAGTACTGCAAGACATTAAACCTCTCGGCATAGATATCTAGTGGAATAATGAACGTATTTATTGCGAAAGAATCTCGAATTAAGACGTAAATACTTTTAATGCTTTCTGGCTTTCAATAGTTATCTATCTGATGTCAGAGTGAACAAATTTTAAAAACTGATCGTATTAATACACTTATTTAAATTTGAATAGTACTACAGAGATTAATCGACCGTTACACTCACCTATCATCAGTGTACATTGAGAAATGAAAGAATTTATACAGTTAACGGTGAAGTTAATAATTTCGGTCATCTTTAGACATACGTTATCCTCAATATGAAAATTGTATTCAGATTAATATTGAAATTTCATTAAGTCCCATGATAGCAATAATAGTAATAATAATGATAATAGGATTAATTGGAATAAGCTAAAAATTTTCATTTTTTGAACATTTCTCATATATAGAACTTATTTGTTAACGAATAGTGAACATTTTCATGATTTTATAGCTTTTAAAGCTGAATGAATTCTGTCGATCAAATTATAAGCTTCAAAATGATCTAAGTGACTTGACATCGAATCAACTAAGTTGAGATGTAACGTGGTTGAAGAAAATTTGTGAGAAACCTAACTTGGCCTACGTTTTGTGGTAGTTGCAACATTTCGTCGTCAATCTCAACAGGACTTATGCTTCCTGTGGCGTTCGAACATTAGTTAATCTGTCCAACTACCTCCAATTATCAAACAAGCTAAATCTTCATATGTGAAAAAGTAAAGAAAATAAAATATTCTCTTCTCAACTTACTATTTTTTTCAAGTGTCCTTCTTGCTAATGGCCAGTAACCGACTAAACGTAAAAATATATATCGTGCACGAACATGATCTAATGATAACTCCCAAATCGGACATTTACTTATACATAGACCAGTTGAATGACGTAATGAATGTTTATGTGTTGGTGAAGATGATGCATTTACATAATCATATGATTCTAAACCCATATCATTAATACAAAATTCACAGATATCAACTAGTTCCAATCTTCCACGAAGTAAGACACCTTATGGTTAAGCGAAGAAAACAAGTAGAATGTGAGATGATGATAAAAAAGGATAACGGATTTTAATGTATACGTGATAATTCGTATTAATAATTGAAAACACTGAGTAGAAAAGGGTAAAATCGATAATACTGGGTGTCAAATTCACTAAAGTACCATACGCAACGTCGATTAAAGAGAAAATACTATCTTGGAACATTTATTACAAACAATAAGAAAATGGTTGGTTCACCGTTGAACAATTGGATGCAAAAAAATTATACGATAGAATGTAACTACTCATAAATAGTATAGTTATACTACATAAGGTTTACTGAAGCACATGCCTTCAATTACAAAGCTAAATTTAAATCTTGAATTTCAATGCAATTTCAAATAACTTTCACGCTGTAATTTCATTCGTTATTACTTTTGAGTCCTATATACTCTAGGCTTACATGTTCTTTATATTACCACTGCTACTACCACTTTATTCCGACTCTGTGGATGCCCATCTTGTTAACTTCCTCTAGTTGTGTTTATATGAGGTGTGGAGATGTATATTTATAGTCAAACCTTTAAAGACCGAGAGATCCCAAATATATCACTTGCCTGTACTCATATACTATCTCAGCGTCAATCCGTACTTAAAAAAAGTATAAATTAAACACTATCGAAGAAAACCTATCATATTTCTAGTAAAGGTCATAGCTTACGTTTCCTTGTTACGAGTTTAAGACGAATTCATACGAACCAATAATTTGTGTATCTAATTATCCAGTTTCACCAACTACAAATTCCTAGTTATTCTTTATTCGTCTCATGTGTATAATGAGTCGGGTGAACGTAAAGGAAGAGTGTATACCTGAGTCGAACGTCATGAGACGAAACAGTACTGTGTTAATTGTGAGTGACTTTTTGAAACGATTGAATGAAATAAAACTAGAATATGAAAAGCCATCAATTCTTCAATGAATTCTATAGTATTGGAAAACTGGAAACTCAACAGTATTCACTTTTTTGGCAATAAAAAAAAACAAATAACACAGTTCAATAGTGTTATGGACAATGATCAATTGATGTGAGGCTTATATACATATGTATTCAAACTATTTCCATTTCAATAGACAGTCGTAAATTCATCTTTGTGTGGTTAGTTTGATTCACAGTCAATTAGGAAAATTCACTCATAGTTATTATGTTAAATAATAATTCGACTAATCAGTAGCTACGAAATATTTAAACAACAAAAATTATGTATTTATACATGATAAGAAAAAAACATTGTTAACAATTTAAGACTCTGATAGAAGTCACTTGATATTGTTTTGCTTGTATCTTCCCATTGAGGTTGAAGACTGAAACTGATCAGTCTGTTATTGGAATCTTTGGTAGAAATCATTTGTAGTGTGGTGTGTGCTACTTGTACGAATAGATATAAGTAGTACGTATAAAGAATTGAAAGTAGAATTCTTACGAACAGAAGAGAAAAATGAAGAGAAGAGTAAGAAAAACAGAAAACAATCGAAATAACAGCAGAAACGAAAGAACAACAGCGTTGTAAGGGACAACTCAAGGAAAATGTGCAAATAATGCATCTATGCATTGTTTTCATATTTTACAAATTCAATGGGTGATTTTGCATAATACAGTAAATTGTTTTACTTTAACCAAGTCTTTGTTCACTACGATAGTCGTAACTAAAAATACTATACATATGCTAACAAATTTCAAAAATGATTTGAGATAATGGATTATTATCATTATTAATATTCATTTTGTATTGTGTGTTTGAATCTTCCCATTGATGCGCAGGACTGCAATTGATCAGTATCTTATGTGCAACCTGTGCGGATTGCCTCGATATTATATTATCTCAAGTCACAAGCATTATGAGCTTGGACGGATGATGGCTATCAATGGAATCCAGGACACGCGTTTCGTCCTATTTAGGACTCGTCAGCTGGATGTGTCTGTATCTCAGAGTTGATGAACAGTGCTGAGTTCGAGCCCCGAGATGAACACAGACTCTGAGGTGCAGGTGCATTCAGCTGACGAGTTCCGAATAGGACGAAACGAGATTCTGGGTTCAACTGCTAGTCACTATCCATCTTTACTGATTATTAATATTGTTTATATGGGTTAGGTATCGAGACAAGTCTAAATGGGAATTGGAACTTTATTTATTTGTTGAGGATAATAGGCGCGTATTGGTGAGATGTTTCAGTCTAAAGGGACTTTCAACAGTTCAACACTGGATGTCACTTTAGCATGAAAAGTAACTTCTGATTAAAGGGTTTCGAGTCCGGGTATGAACGGCAACACTGGAATGTGAGAAATACGTCCATATAGAGAGTCTTAACTAATATGAAATGGGCATACAGGATCACTATGATAGCCGCATACCAAATACATTCAAACAAAAACATCGTTTATTAAAATTCTTACTTGGAAAACGCTGAATAACATTTACAACATCGTTATGTATAAGATAATGATTTAGTACTTCCAATGATTGTTGTAATATAGTTTTTTGAAATAATGACGACTTGTTGTTACTTTCGTTGTAATTTGAATCTGGCATATCGGTGGGACAAATCATAGTAGATAATGGAAGATCTGGACACCGTTCAATAAGCTTATTTACATGTTTCACTCCAATATTATATAATGGATCGTACAGTTTACTAAGAATTATATCACAATTAAGTATGTCTAAACGAATATGTAGTGGATCAAAATGTTGGTTATATTGTAAGGATACATCTAAAGTGTGAAAAAAAGTATAGTGGTAGAGGGAAAATAAATAAATAAATAATATTTTATCTTTACTCGACTACATTTGACGAAGCCGCAAGCGACTTTACTCGCCATTTTTATGGTGTCATGCAAATGCAACCAATGCTCATCTACACTTTTCTGTGGGATGGTAGCTAGCCTAGAACCTAGCTACGTTTGATACTTAGTTGCAACAGAAGCTGCAATCAATTTACTGACATCGATCCGTCTAGGACGGTGAATTCATTGGCCACTGAAAAGTAAAGTAAGATTGGCGCAAACCAAGGCATGGTCAGAGTCCAGATAGGTAGTCCAAAAGGAGCGGCAGTCTTGTACACAACCACGCCAGCTGTAGCTTTGATAAAACTTTCAAATCTAACAGCATAACCGGTTGTTAATGAGGATGCAGTATATAAAAAAATAGTAATAATAATAACAGTGAGTGTTATCAAGTAAATGAACCGAAGCAGGTGGTTTTCCTAGGGGGCCACATCCGGAGACTTTGACCTAAAAGTCTGATCCACAAGGCAGTGGAGCAACGAAAGGTTCCCACTCGCTTCAATTAGATTTCAGACAATTCACATGGCGAGTAAAGTCGCTTGCGGCTTCGCAAAACATCCTGCTTATAAGCACTGGGTTTATTCAGGCTCCTTACAACTCATCGGAACCCATCAGTCTAATCCGGGTGACCGTGAGTTTAACCACAAACGAAGGATGTTACATAATGAAATTGGGCAAAGCTTGCGAAAGGACCGAGAAGCCTGGTGGTTGGAGCATGCTAATCAGTTGGAAGTAGCAACTGCATCTGGTAACTACCGGAAGCCACTGGCAGCAAGAAGTCTGGTGTGAGCAAAACAATCTGTGAGGATGACGGGATGCCAATCAGTAACATCCAACGACGTATTGGACGATGGGCAGAGTTCTTCAAAGGGCAGTTCGATTGGCCTGCTGCTCCGGCAACATCAATTAGACTGTCCTGTTCTCCATGGCCTGTGACGACTGATCCACCAAATGAGGCGGGAGTCCATAAGGAACTCCAACTCTTGAAACGCTACAAATCACCGGGCCCAGATAACTTACCTCTGACTCTTTCTAAAGATGGTGGTGACTTTCTGACTAAGCAACTGACGATGTTGCTTACAAAGGTTTGGGAACTAGAGAGTGTACCAACGTCATGGAATGAGTCGATAGTTGTCCCTATCTTTAAAAAAAGTTCACGTCGTTTCTGTAACAACTATCGGGGGATAAGTCTACTTCCAATTGCGTCTACACTATTGGCTTCCGTCATACTTCGGAGGTTGTTCACAACTCGAGAAAGATTGACTCGCGAGGAGCTGGCTGGGTTTCGTTCTGGTCGAGGATGTATTGATCATACCTTCACCCTTCGCAAAATGTTAAAACACCGCCATCCTTATTATAGGTCAACAATCATAGTGTTTCTTGACATCAGGGCTGCCTTCGATTCGTTGGACAGGACTGTTCTCTGGGATTGTCTATTGAAGAAGGGTGTGCCTGAGAAGTTTATTAACATCCTAAAGGCCCTATATACAAACACCTCAGGCAGAGTGAGGGCATACAACCACCTCTCTCTACTGTTCCACTCAAGCAGTGGGGTTAGACAGGGTTACCCAATCTAACCATTCCTCTTCAACTTTGTCATCGATGACATCCCGGAAACAGCTCTGATGGATGTAAGTAATGGCGGTGTGGATCTGTTGACTGGAGAAAGACTTCTCAACCTTAAGTATGCGGATGATATTGTCTTACTATGCGATAATACCCAAGCCGCGCAATCCGCACTTAATCAGTTGGCAATTAGTGTCCGTAGGTATGGTATGTGCCTAGGGGTAGGATACTTGCTTCAGGTGCGAGTGGTCCCGGGTGCGTATCTGCCCCCAAATGCCCTGGTATGGCCAAGAGTGGGGTGGGCCCGCCCTCCCTCTCGAAATGCTCTCAAACGGCCACGCGTATACAGCCTCTGCCAGAGAAGTCCTACTCACTGCATTCTCGTGGCGGGCGTGCTGTTTACGAAACTGAGAGGGCGCTTTAACCGGATTCCAAACCAATGATGCACATGGACTCCAGTATCCTAAAGGAACAAATGGCGTAAAAACCAATCGTTGGTCACCGGCTACCATGGGACTGCATCTCCTCACGATTCTCCACTGCCTTGTGGGCCAGACCTTTAGGTCCAAGGCTCGGGCTGTGGCCACCTACGGAAACATCCTGCTTCGGTCTGGGCACCCGGGCAGCATTCCAGCCCACACACAAATCGAATGATTTATGTGGCGCATATCTATTTGGTACCTCCTTGTACCAACGTTTATGTGTTTAAATAAATAAATCGCACCTTCTAAGTGCAAAGTATTTATACAAGACTGGTAGGACCCTGATCCCGTACTCACCCTGGGTAGTGAGTAGATAGAAGTAGTCGAAAAGTTCGTGTATCTAGGTAGCTGCATAAGTGTTGTTAGTGGCATGAATGATGAAATCAATACACGTATAGTGAAAGCCAGAGCGGCTTATACCAATCTGGGCCATCTTCGGCGCCTTCGTGATGTCAGTCTGGATGTAAAAGGTCATATCTACAACGCGCCGGTGAGAGCAGTTTTGCTCTATGCTTGTGAAACTTGGCTTCTCCGAGTTGAGGATGTTAGATGACTCTCTGTGTTTGATCATCGTTGTCTCTGAAAGATTGCTGACATCCAGTGGCAACACCATGTCAGTAATGCAGAGGTTCGGCATCGTGTGTTCGGACACAAAGACGATAATCCAATCGGTGCCACCATCTTGAAACAACGACGTTAGTGGCTTGGACATGTTATACGAATGTCGTCCCAGAGAATTCCACGTCGTGCATTATTTGCCGACACTCGGACTGGTTGGAAAAAGCGCAGAGGTGGTCAGTGTATGACATGGTGTCGTGATATGAAAGAAAGCTGCAGAGGGCTGGCTTCTGTTGGTCCTTCTCGACTCCCTGGCTGGGGTCAGAGAGATGGTGCAACACAGTAGCTAGAGAAGTTATCATATATGGCTCAGAATAAAAGCCAGTGGCGATCCTGTCGTAACCTTCATTTGCTTTCTTCATAAAAAGTGGCCGTAACTTTAAGTGAAAGAATTCTTTCTACTTGTACCTTCCTGTTTCTCCCATTGTTATTGTTATTTCACTACCATACACTAATTTGTGATCGTTAATGTTTCCTTTTCTTTTTTCACGCACCTTCACATTCTTTATCTCTTCCCATTCTCATTGTTATTGTGTGGCGGATATGCATCTGGTGCCCTTAGCAGTTGGACAAACAGCAATGTCATCCAGTCAAATTTCTATCATTTCCACATTAGATATCATAGTATCCATTTATCTACTAGAAAATTTCAGGTGCTGACTGTAAGCTGAATGGCAAGCGCTTATATTTGATAGCATCCACCATAAGTATCAATAGCTAGAAACTCATTTGAATAAATATTGACCTCCATTTGCGAGTAGGCTTCAGACAAATCAAGTTTGAGGAAATAAAGTTAGGCGTTTAGCATAATAAACAAACCATTAAGGTAGATGTAGTGGATATGAATGATTTTGTGATGTACCTCCCGGAAGATGATCATATCGAAAGTGAACGGAACATCTCATTATTCCAAAGAGCTTCAGTACGTCCCTGTGTGTATTCCTGGGTGTGTTTAGTTTGTAATCCTTGTGAACTAATTAAATTACATGTCCTTTCAGAGATTAATGTGATATTTGGCGCAACATCCAATGGTGATAGAATATATAAACCGTTTACAGATAAATCCATATACCTTCTTTTGTCAGCTGTACTTCATGCGAGTGTAGCATATATTCTGTTTATATAATTTTTTTGATTTTAATCAAGAAGCTTCATAGATCGTGATTTCAACCTTTCCTTAACTCGACAGACAGTTCTTTTGTGGCTAACTTTTTTTGTATGCGGTGCATCCATGAGCTCGTAAATTCGTGAGAAACCAATCGCACTACAGTACCAGAATTTCATCGAAGGTTTGAAAAATTCCGATGAATATTTGTTACACATCATAATATTTTGTCTCTAGACTATCTAAACAGCATAAACAGTATATTTTGATGATGATGGACCTTTAGTCTCCACCATCGTTGTATTCCATTTCAGGTTTACTAATCATTGACACTCTGTAGTAATATTCGACTGATCGTCTGTCAAGAGTCTAGAAGATAGCATACAAACTTATATTCTTCTTTTCATTATTGTTCAATGTACGTATCGATTTATAAACAGACATACCGGACTGCATTGCACCAGATTAGGAAACACACTAGTTATTTAGTAATTAAATAGTAAGAATCCATATAAAGATAATAAGATAGTTTCGAATGTTATCGTTTTCTTAAGTTTTCGCTTTGTTACATAGGTTTTCTCTTGACTACCTTGAACTATCTAACATACAGCTATGGTATTATGAATAGGTGCACAGATCTATGTTATAATAAAGAAAGCTTCATTGTTTCTCACCATATCAAATACCAAAACAAGTAAATAATGACTGCCACAGTATCTAATCCGTAAACTAACAACCAAATATCAATACATTAATCGAAAGCGAAGTTATACAGAAGAATAAACCTAATGAGTCTAATTAATTGTAGTGAATTAAAACTATTAAACTGGAAGCTGTGTCGATAAAGAAAAAATAAATGAAGGGAAGTGATTCGTGGGAAAACAAATAAGGAGAAAGGAAACGAGATGCGAGAATACGTGTCACTGAAAAATACATAGAAGATAGCTGAGAAACAGAAAGAAATACAAAAAAGACGAAGACGAAAGAGAATAATAGAGTGGAGAAAAGCGAGGCTGAAGTGAGAGAACCAAAGTGAGTCAGTCAAAGAGATATTTATGTTGGTGGCTATCTCTTCCCAGTTGCCTATACCGTACAAGGATAATTTCTTGAGATCATTGAAAAGGAAACAACGTCCAGGGAGTGAGAATGTACAATCCACAGGAAAGTTCCTTGAGTTTAAACATCCATAACCTTTTTTGAGTACTTTTGATATATTAGCTATGGACTTTTAACTCATCACCAACAGTACCACTTATAAGTGGGTGTTAGCGGGACATAGACTAGATTAAAGCATGCTCAATGCATGATTGTTTTGGTGCACGCTGATTGGCTGATTCTTACCCAATCAGCACTAGTCGATAGTCGGAGATTACTCTGGAATCTTCTTATGTAAAAACTATAAATATACCGACGTTTTCCCCTATTGTGCTTCTGATTTGCTATTTGGAATATAATCTTTTCCCTGTTCAACCGTGTTCTGATTTGGGGACTTGTTGAGTGAATCGGTGTCCGAGAATACTAAGCAATAGGAATAGCTGGGTCATTAACCGTAAGAAGAAAGAAAGACAGAGTTATAACAGTGGGGGAAGGTGAGGTATACTACTTATAGGATCGATTTTTTCTAACTTAACCTTCCTTTGTGTATAAGTAAAATTAATGTAGATGCTGATTATCCAGTGGAAAACACCTTACTGGAACCACAATCCGACACATCCGATAGTACTATCTTTCCCTATGACTTTAGATTTTCTACTTCTGATCTTAGTCTTATCATTATTCAACTGACCTGCCTGGAATGGTATAGCCTCAGGAGACAAATAATCCAACTAATGCAGACTGATTGAGTTATCATGTTAGGAAAATCCGACTACAATATCAAAGTGCCAGATAGAATCGAATAAAGAACGGACAGATAACAAAGAAAAAGAAAAGCACAAGGAATTAGTTGAATAACTGTAATAATATCAATAAGAATATTTCACTTACTTTGTTCACTGAACTTATATTTACATACATTGTGTATTATTTGAATACCAGTTCTAGCGTTGATATTTAATTCTTTTTGATAGACATTTAAGAATAAACTATCCAATAATGATTCTGAATCAACTATTTCAACATCATCTTTAGAACATAATGATTTCATTGTACGCCAACGACCTAGTTTTGATTCATATTGACATAATACAACCAGACTTTTGAAATTATTTAATACAAATGGATCGGAAAATTCTTTTTGTAACCAATCATTTGGTAAATATTTACTAGTAATCCATGTTGGAAATAATTCTTCTTTTGATGAAATTGTCGATAAAGAATGATTTACTTGTATAGAAGAAGTCAATGAACTGCAAAATCGATTATTATTATTAATGGTTTGGCAAAGGAATACATTTTGATTGCGATTCAAGATTATTTTCGAAATGAATGTATAACATTGTCTATAGTGCATATTGTAATGATTATATGGAGTATGTTTTCTTCTTGTTCTGTAAAAGTACAAACAATCATTATATATTATTGTATCATTTCCGTTAAATGTATAATGTCTACTATACACATAAACTAAGATTTCAAAAATAACACTTTACAAAATCATGTATCCTCATCAAAAATCTACCCATTTGTAACGATACACTAGTTTTATGGCTATTTTTCTTATTCAAATTTATAAACTTTTTTTTTTAAGAAGTCAGGTTCTTTGGCTACTTCATCGTCTTATGTTCTATGAGAACTCTCTTTAAAATGGTAATTCAAAAGTATAGATTACCGTACACTTTCAATGTTCCCACCAATAAAAAAAGAATACCGAGAACTCTCCTAATTTTATATTACTCTTGTAATCGTATAAGATGCTGATATGACGAGAAAAAAAATCAAAATTAGATTGATTCAAGATTACTTCCATTCTGATTCAATGTGATAATCATTCAGTGTAGCATTCGGTTTTGTTTCTCTCTTATGATATTTTATTCTGTATAATATACGATATTCTTGTATTCAACGGACATAAACTATGCTCAGCATGCGATTTATTATAACTGAGTATTTTATTATATATGTGATTTCATCCTAATTATTAATCAAAAATGGGTGTCCAATCAATATATAAATGAGTGTATTTTCTACTAGAATTGTCGTCGTCTTTGTGTTTTCGGGCTTAATAAATCTTCACTTATACCAGTCTTTCTGCTTTTACTTTCGCGTCGTGAGAATTGCAGAGGTGCCTCGTTTCGAGTATTAGTGATAAGAGTTTTCGGCATAACAATCAGTGACGATCAGATATAACAAGTATTGTTCAAAACGATAAGACATATCAGCCGCTAACTGGAATATTTGATACACCTGAAAAAAAATTGCCTTATCACAAAACACGTACCAGGAATTCATGAAAGTCTTAAGAGATTTCTAAGCTATTATGAGAGACTACAGTGGTTTGTTTTGTCTATCATTATTGAACCGATCGTATTTATGAGTCACAGTGACTACAAGCAAAACGAAATAGATATTTTCTCATGCGTTAATTGAATGGACACACACACAACACTGTCAATTGATTCATACTTTTTAACCGACTTTCTTAAAAACAAAAAACTATACTATACAGATTATCAGTTAGATGATTTAGGACAGTCTGTAAGATATTTTACGAAATCTAGTCTCATACTAGTAAATTTAAAGTGTCCGATATTCCTTGTCTTACATTCCCATTTTGGAAAACCCTCGGTTTTATGGTCACAGATATTTCAACAGTGAAACTATTAAGCGACGAATGATAATATTCGATAAAAATTGTTCGGTATCATAAACTAAATTACAGATATGAAAACCATTTAAGGTACCTTAACAATACTGTTTATCGATTCTAAATTTAAATGTCCTCAGCTTGACTCACTGAATTGGACTGTGTGTGTATGCGAATTATTGAGGATTCTTATATAAGGACAAAATAAATTAACTGTTATAATTGAGTTTCAACAATCCTTCAATTAATATCAGATAGGGATAAAAAACTGAGTAAAGAATGTCGATGTACTCTTAAAATAATTAGTCTCAGTGTTTATTTTCCAATATTACAAAGCCACTTGATAACTATCAAGTAAACAAAGTGTATAAATCACTAAATCTTATGATATAAACATCATAATGTAATGATCGCTTTATAGTTAGGGAACATCTCACTTTCGTCCAGCAAGTCTCACGTTCAAACTCTACAACACCTACCTAGGTCTAGATAGCATAGTATTATTTTATGGACCCTCACATAAACAGTAAAGTTCAATGTTGAATAAATAAACTAGTAACTGATGGGTTACATAATATCTAGGCAATTGCTGAACAGGCGTTAGACATTCACGAAAAAAAACAACAGAAAATATGCTTTCACTCATTAAACTTCATTTATTTTATGTGATACATATATACAACTACATAAATCACACTGTACAATAACAAAACAAAAAGTATCTATTCGTCATCATTTTACTCATATTCAATTGTTCAATATTCAATCATTTAATATATTTAATCCTTTCAATTTTGAAGACACAATGGATATCACTTGTGAACTGTGTGCTTGATCTGATTTTACTATTAACCGGATAAGGAGAATAGCCCATTCAACACAGAATGAATTGAATGGATCCCTATTTGTAGCGTCTAATATCACTTCAAAGGCAGATAAAAATGATGGTGTAGGTGTTGTTGAACTGATTAATTTCTCGCTGACATCACCGTCGCCTATCATATAATTATTTGCGTCAAATTTGTGTAAGGCTAATGTAAGTGATAGTTCAGGAAACTGTGTAATCAATCCAACTATGCATCGAATCACATCTTGTTTAAAACAAATAGCTTGAATTAATGAAAAGGGTGATCTCGTAGAGAGTAGGACCTAAATTTTAAAAAAGAGATGGAAAACATTGTAGAAAAAAACAAATTGATAATTTATCCATGTACTAAGTGCAGATTTTAGGTACTCAGCTTCAAGCAGCACTTCAGTTGCTAGAAGGCTGACAATACTATCCGGATGGTAAATCAAAGTAGGTGGGACAGGGTTCGAACTCGTAACATGCGAGTTGATAGCCAAGTGAACTAGTGACTAAGCCAGGGCCTTACAAGTGAAAAGCACTAAACAGCTACATCACCTTAGTACGGAGTATCTCAGCGTTTTGCATCTATGACCTCATTAGGGGTCGAACTCAATAAGGTTATTAACCAACTCTGGGACCCATGTACATCCAGCTGACAAGTTACAAACAGGACGAAACGCACATCTTAGATTCTACTGATAGCCATATTCCATCTATTCTACAGTAGCCTAGTAGGAGTGGCACCTTTCGAAAAAATTGAAGCTCAAATTGAAGCGACTTATGGTTTCTACAACTAAACGGTTTACAGTAACACCAGTACAGATTGCTGAAGCAATACTAGTCGTTTGCACAACCTGGATTCTGATCATTAGAGTTAGAAAGACAGTATTAGAGTTATGATGTTAAAGCTTAAACCTAACATTTTAAAACTATTTTGTCCTTAATTTTGTAATATTCAATGGTTCGTTTACAATCATTACAATCTAACTGGTTAACATATGATTATTTGATTGTAAGGTCAATCTTGGAATCGCTCAAGGCTATCCGTTCGCTCTAGTCCTATGAAAACAGGTACAAATTAAAATAATTAACACAACAACAGAATAACGAAAGAGAAATAAAGAAATCATACCATTTTCTTCGCTAATTTTGATGGATAAACAGTAAAATCTTTATTTTTCACTAAATCATTCTTGAATGGTAAATTATCTTTGATTGAATCAGGTAAATTATAAAATTCCTCAAATTTATGAGTTGCATAATGTGTAATCACTAAAATATTGCAGAGGATTTTTAATAATTCACTAGCATACTCTTGTGTGATTGGCATGTTCTGTTCTGATGATTGATTACTTTCTTGATGAAATGATAGTATGGATGATGATTGAATATCGACAGGTTGTTTATCATTATCACTGCCTTCTGAATTTGTTGAAATACTCTCGTCTGTATTCAAATTACTATTACTACTATTATTCAAGTTTGAAAAAGTGATACTAGCCAGTATATGAACTAAACCACGTAATCGAGCATAAGGATAGTTTACATGCTGTGAATACAAAAATAAACACATTGAAACTGTATAGTTCAATTATACTACTAGTATAATGCCCAATAAATATGAGAATTAAAGTTATAAAAACTTTATAAAAATCTACGATACTAAAATTCTATCCACTTTAAAATACTCCTCCCAATCGATTATAATGACATGGTATCAATTAAGTGGAGAATTTATTTGATTATCCCATTATTTTAAATTAGCTACAATATTAATTAATTATTTATCACTTGCTAGAAAAATCTGTATGAATGAATGTATTCAGTTATCAGTGTGGTCGTTGAGTTCATAGAATACGTTCGTCCACTTCTATTTTACATACAATACGATATATACAATTGTATATGAATGACTTGATAAAGTTCTGGTTAGTGTTATTTAAAACCTGGAAATTTCTATATTATAACATTCTCATGGCAAATACAGTAGTAATAGGGTTAACCGACATGCTGTTAGTATGAGGAGTTTGTGAAGGATGTCAGATTTTGTAGTTTGGCGTTAGACAACTGATGAAAACCAGAAAATACTTGACAGCTATTTTGTCATAGTACAAGACTTCTCTCAATAGTGTACATCCATCACCCCAGAAGAAATCGAAATCTTTACGTCTTGTAGTGAGCGCTTAACTTTAAGACCACTGAATACGAATCCAATGGATTACATTTCTAAACTCAATCCATTTATGATATCGTGCAGCCATTTTACAATCCCACTGGTAAGTGTCTCATACCAGTTATGGCATAACTCCACTGATTTCAGCTATTCACTAGAATTCCCAGAATTACCTGGATCCTATCATTAGTGGGTTTGTGAATGCGTAAAACCAAGTTGAAGAACCCCATACTAATACGAAATGGCTATCTAATGCTTTCTGTTTTCTAGTGGCTGTTTAACTAAATTTATTTTATTTATTTGTTTAAATACATAAACATTGGTACAAGGAGGCAGCAAATGGATATGCGCCACATAAACCATTCGATTTATGTGAGGGCCGGGATACTGCCCGGGTGTCCAAACCGAAGCAGGTTGTTTTCTTAGGGGGCCATACCCGGAGCCTGATCCGCAAGGTAGTGGGGCAAAGTTAGGAGATGCAGTCCCATGGTAGCTGCTGATTAACAATAGGTTCATACGCCACTTATTCCTTCAGGATCTCGGAGCCCATGTATACCATTAGTTTGGAATCGGGGTTTCCCAACTCCCTTGAGTGGATCCTCCATACTCACTAAAGAGGTTAAAGCGCCAGATATTCGCTTTTCGTCCTCTCAATTTCCTAAACAACACCCCCGCCGCCAGAAAGCAGTGAGTAGGACTTCCCTAGCAGTGGTTGTATACACGTG